GGGGGGGGGGGCATCTCTTATCTGCGCCACCACTCCTTTATCACAGGATCTCATTCTGTAGTTGCTAGCCCCTTCCCCAGCTTCCTCTTGCTGCTGTTTTCCTCTGAGACCCCAAAATGCCCACCACTTCCCTACCCCATAACCAAGATGCCCAGCCACTTCCTGGGGCCAGCCTGGAATTACTCCTCCCAGTCAGCCCTTGTGACTCACACAGCCACCTGAGTGGGCCTATGTTTTCCCTTTACCATCAGCGGAGAAGTATAGGTGGGGCCAATATAGCACTTAACAACAACTTAACAAGTTTTTTTGGGAGCAGGCAAAACCGTTAGAAGCTCCCTGGGTTTGTGGGCCCCCTTAGGGGAATGAAGGAGAGTTGAAAATGGGCAAAGAGTCTTCTACTTTGGGATTCTAAAGTCAACTTGTGTCCAAGTGTTAGGCTGGCTTTGAGGGTTGGCCCTGAAGCCTAACAATGATATAGCATTATTGTGATAGGAAAAACACATGTCTTAGGGTCCACGTTTGCGTAGTGGTTATGAATTGGGCTGCTAACCTCAAGGTCAGCAGTTCGAAACTACCAGAGGTTCCACAGGAGAAAGATGAGGCTTTCTGCTCCCGTAAAGATGTACAGCCTCAGAAACCCTATACAGGGTCGCTATGAGTCAGAACTGACTCCATGGCACATAACCACCACCAGGGTCCATGTAAATGCCTTACAAACAGTATGTATCCTTGTGTGGCTCTGACTTTTGGGGGTGAGATCCTGAGCTCCAAGGGCCTTTATCTGGAGGAGAGTCAGAGAATTAGGCTTTTGACCTGCCCCTCCTGCCAGGACTGCCAGCACTGTGTCTGGAGAGGGACAGTGGAGGCCAGAGAAGGAATGAGTATTTCTGGGGCACTGATTCTATTCCAGGTGTTAAAGGTTAGCAGTAATAGGTCACTTCATTTGATTCTCAGAACAGCTTTGAAGTAAACATTATAATTACCCCGCTCAAGAACTGAGGGAAACAAGGTTCAGGAGTGATGTAATTTGCCCAGGATCCCTCAGCTAGTAACTAGCTGCATGTAGACCCGGACCTGCCAACTCCATGCTTTTCCCCCCAGCACAGCCCAGGAGGGTATGGGTAGGCACAGTCTTGGCAGAATCCCTGATCCCATAGGATGTCTCATTGCAGGAGAGCCGGATCTACGCCGTGGCCACTTCCGGCATGCAGCTCTCAGACGCAGCTCCCAGAAGTAATGCTGCCAGCTGCAGTAAGTCCTATGGTGGGCAGACTGGGTGAGGGAGAGAAGCAGGCACCCACTTTCCTCCCAGCAGTGAAATCACATAGTGAGGGCTCCTTGGAGGGAAAAGAAAGTCATGCTGGTTCAGTTCATTACCTGCCAAGTCCGAGTGAGAAAGGTAGGCCCCCTGTCGCCCAGCCTCTCACCCAAACAGGCTTCCTAGTGTAGTGCCAGGACCATGGATGGGAGGGGCACCTCTGACCAGACAAAAGTGGGGCCCAGTGTAAGCCTCATGGAGGGTAAAATGGTTGCAGGGCAAGGCTTTGGGGTTCTGTTGTAATGGCTCCATCGATGCACTGGAGTCATGGTCCCCCAAAGGCAGTCAAGGGGAACTGAAAGGGGAGAGGGTAGCTGAAGAAGACTTTGGCCCTAATCCTGACCTCTATCACCCCCTCTATTCCTCAAGTGCTCTGATCTTGCCCTGCCCAGGTCTCTGCCTCCCCAAGCCCCTTACTAAGTTATGCCCCCTAAGTTCATCGTGTTCTTCTTTCCTCTCTCTCTAGTTTCAAGTCCATCTGCCCATGCATCCCTGGGGCCTTTCTCCGGCCTTGTCTACAAGAATGTTACGGTGCCTGTCTACACAGCCCTGAGAGGGGTAAGGAGGGGTGCCCCGCTGGGAGAGGCCCTTCATGGAGGTATGCAGTGGCTGGGACAGAGCTCCCGGCTCAGGCTTCTGTGCATACATGACCCTGGGCAAGGAGCTCAGTCCACACCATTTCACTCTATTTTCATCTTTATTAAGTTTTATTATAAAATGTTTATATTTACCAAAATTTGAATCAATAGGAGTGTGGACAAGTAAAATATGAAAGGTTAAACTAGGAATGTTTCCCCACCCCCCATCCCCACCCCAATTCCCTCCTTTTCTGTCTGTGCCACTGCCCAGACCCCAGAAAGCACTGGGACTCCTTTCAGAACTTTTTATATATGTTCAAATAAACCCATATACACTCCCCTACACAGCACTACATATCTTAAAACAAAAATCAGATGTAATAGTGTGCTGCAAAGTGATATTTTCAGATATATCTCTTTTTTGGTTGTTACATAGATTTTGAAATTGTAACTGTGCAAAACTTCTTATAGAAGAATAAAAAGCCAAAAGGGAAATTTCCTTTCAGCTTGCTTTTCCCTAATTCCTGTCTCAAGAGGCAACTATCATTAATGGTTTATTGTTTATTCTACAAGACTATCAAATGCATTTATATAAACCCCTTGTCTCTCCCTCCGTCTTTGTCCCTCACACACACACACACACACACACACACACACACACACACACACTCTCTCTCTCTTTCTCTCTCTCTCTCTCTCTCTCTCTGTCTCACTAGGGTATACTCCACAAAAGGGATCATATTGTACACATTCTGCACTCAGATCTTTCACTAAACCATGTCAGGCCATCCTTCCATCCTTGCACACACAGTTCTACCTATCTTCCTATTTGCTGTCTGGTACAACGTGCCGTTGCTAAGTGCCATTGAGTCCTTTCCAACTCCTAGCGACCCTGTATGTGGTTCCCAAGGAGTGGCCTATGCTCCACTGATTGCCGTTCATGTCACGGCGCTATTTGTCTCTAAAAGAAATACTGTAATGAACCAACATTATGCAAATATATCTTTTCATGATATTGTGTGTATATGAAATATATTTGATATGAAACATATTTAATATACAAATATACACTTAAATGTGAGGGGGCTTCAAAAGTTTGTGGAAAAATAAAATGCAAAGAAAATGGGGAAAAAAGAGATTTTTTTCCATGAGCTTTTGGAAGACTTGTTGTTAAGTGTGGCAGCCCTGTATAGGGTTTTCAAGGAGCAGCTGGTGAGTTTGAAGAACTCCTTGTACATATTTCCATAAGGGAGAATGCTAGAGGTGGAATTTCTGAACCGATTATATGCATGGAGTATTTTTTGTTGAGAAAATACATAACAGAACATACACCATTTCAATAGTTTCTACATGCACAATTCAGTGGCATTGATTATACGATTGGACATATTCTGCAGGTAGTATGACCATTCTCACTATATACATATTCTAAATTGTGGTAAATACTGCCAAATTATCTCCTAAAAAATCTTTATCACAATAGAGTATCCTTTTCCTCAAACGCATCAACATTGAGGATTATCAGTCTTGTAACCAGATGTCCACACACATTTTTAAAGCACTGCAAAACCCACTCGACAGCCTTAACAACAACAAACTGTTGGCTTAGGGAGTAAATATCTGGCCCCCTAGTGGCAGGAAGCAAGAGTCACTGCAACCTGGATGCTCAGCTCCATTGGGGACCACAGAAGATAGTGGGTTGGGGAGGAAGGTCCAAGGACACCAGAGTCAAGCTGGGTCAGAGTATCGGTATTGCCCCGGAGGTGCTCTGATGGCCACATCCTTAGAACATGAGGCTTGTTTGGCAGCCTCAGCTGCAGTAGAGGAGGGGTCTGCTTTGCAGAGAGCCATGCAGATCAGCAACATGCCTTTTGTGGATGAGTCCTCTGGGTCTGACGATGACTGCAGCTCCCAAGCGAGTTTCCGAACTTCAGTTTCCTGCTCAGAATCCAGGAAGACCAGTGGACTGGGCAGTCCCCGGGCCATCAAGAGAGGTACAAGAAGGGAAGCAGGAGGGGTATGGTGCAACAAGGGGTGTCTCACCTCCACAGACACATGGCTCTGTAGCACCTGGAGATATAGGGGGCCCAGGACCTTGACTCCTTCTTTCATGCCCAGGTGTCTCCATGTCTTCCTTGAGCTCCGAGGGCGACTATGCGATCCCCCCGGATGCCTGTTCCCTGGATAGTGACTACTCGGAGCCTGAGCACAAACTACAGCGCACCTCTTGCTATTCCATTGATGGACTGGGCCTCGCTGGGGTGAGCTGGGCACATGGGATGGGGGCAGGTGGGAGCAGATTTCTAGCAGAAATCTGCCTGGGGCCACAGGGAGAGGGGACTTTTTGTCCTCAGCACTAGATACAGACAGCAGCTGTGTGAGGTCCGGGTTCCTGGGGTTCAGGGAGAAGGGACCATGGAGTTGCACTGATGCTAGGGAGTGTAGTAGGCTGGGGGCAGGGGAGGGGGAAGAGTGGTGTACAATTACAGAGTCAGACCCTGTGAGGAAGAAAGAAGGGAGTCTACAAGGCCCCGTGAAGTGTTCCGCAAGTTACTTCACATCGAACCAGGAATGCTAATGAGAGCTTACGTTTATTGGAGGTTGGTGGTGGTTATGTGGCATGGAGTCAGTTTGACTCATAGCGACCCTGTACAAGGTTTCCAAGGTTGTAAATCTTTATGGGAGCAGAAGGCCTCATCTTTCTCCCATGTAGTTTTGAACTGCTGACACTGAGGTTAGCAGCCTGACTCGTAATCACTACACTACTTGTTGTTGTTGTTAGGTGCCATCTTTTATTAAGCTCCTACAATATATCAGGCACTGTGCTCCGTGCTTTTCAAGCGCTGTTGCATTTGTCCTCACGACCCATTAGGAACTATTATCCCATTCTACAGATGAGGCACAGAGTCTGAGCTTTGGAGACATGCTACTCGGTGGCAGATTGATCTAATCCCAAAACCTTGCTCTACATACACCATTGTGCTACTGTTTCATCTTCCCAAGCCTGCCTTGCCCTCTTTCCTGCTGCGCTGTCTGGAATGTCCTTCTTCTCCTCTTAGCTTATCTAAGTAAGATTGACCCTTCCCTGAAGCCCTCCATGGCCTGTCTTTCCCAGTCAGCACAGGAGCCTTTCCATGGCAGGGCACCCGTGCCGTAGCTTTTGCTGAGCCCTTAGCAAGGCATTTGTTGCTGTTGTGAAGTACTGTTGAGTTGGTTCTGACTCACAGTGACACTGTATAGGGTTTCCAAGGAGCGACTGATGAGCTTGAACTGTTGACCTTACAGCTCAAAGCAACTTTGCAGTGTGGCGCATGAACCCACAGCACCACACCAGGACTCTGTAGTGTCCTGAAAATACACAATGTAGGTGTGCAATAGTGTGATTTTAAATTAATGACAAAGCAGGGACTCAGCTCTACTCTTTTGGTCTGTGTGACCTCCAGGTGTCCCAAAGGAGTTCTCCTTTCTGTCTCCCCTTCTTCTCCCCTACACCTTTCTACCCCTACAGGAGTCACTGGAGAAGTCAGGCTACTTGCTAAAAATGGGAAGCCGGGTGAAGACATGGAAGAGGCGCTGGTTTGTCCTGAGACAGGGACAGATTATGTACTACAAGTCCCCGGTAAGACCCTCCTCCCCCAGGACCTGTGTGAGAGGGGCTGGAGAAGTAGCAGGTGGCCTGAGACCAGAAGGGCAGAGGTCTGGCAAGTGGGGAGAAGCAGTCTGGCTGTGCAGCTTCAGCATCGAGCTACCCATGAGGACACCAGCAGTGCCCGGTCACTCGTCCCCTTGTTGAAACAAAGCACTGAGGATATGAACACAGCTTAGCTCAGTCCTAGGCCACATGCCTTGGTGACTTCAGCTTCCTTCACAAGCCAGTGTCGTCTTATGCTGACCCTATGAGGGAGCTGCCCCCAGGAGGCCCTCATGGAGCTTCCTCCACCTCCTTCCTCCCTGATCAGAGCCCCTGTAACTAGGGGACCTCGAATACTGGGAATTAGTATGACTGGGCCTCCCTGAGAGCCAAGTTTCATGTTTTAAAGAAGGCAAAAAAAAGCACCATTTGTTATGTAACTCCAGTTGATTGGTAATGGCTCCTGGAAAGTCATGCTAAGGATTCTGGGGCTGTGTCATTTAGTGAGAAAGCCTGCTGTATGCCTGCAGTGGACACTGGAAAGGATAATGATGACATAGATGCCACTTATTTGCAATTCTTGGTATGAGGGATGCAGTGGAAAGACTAGCTCAGGCATCGGTTCTCAAGCTCTTCTTTCTGGGCCCTCAGTCATTGCTCCATTTAGTTAGGACCAGGATCCAGAACAAGTTACCCATCATCCCTGGCCCAGGAAATCTTGATAGTCAGACTCCTCGCCTGTGACCTGGAGTAAGATACAAGGGTAGATGCTGCTGCTCTGGGGAATCACCACTCCAACCTGCTTCCTCCCCTCTCCATTCATCATACAGGGTGATGTCATCCGGAAACCTCAAGGTCAAGTGGAACTGAACTCCCGCTGCCAAATTGTTCGAGGGGAGGGCGCACAGACATTCCAGGTGAGCATACTCCCAGCCATTTGCATTTAAGACAGAAAGGGTGCTGGTTTGGATATGGCTGTGATGAAGGCAGAGATAGGGCAATGTGAGGTTGCGTGAGACTCACTGTATCAACATTTGGCTGGGATCCTAAGTTCTGAGTATTAGAAAGGAAGAAGAGCACGTAGACTATGAGACATGGAGTGAAGGGAGAAGAAGAAGGGAGAGACTAAGTGGATAGGAAGGCCCAGTGAGTTCAGGGATTTGTGTCCCTTAGAGCCAAGCCCCATATTTCTTTCTGCCCCTGCCCCAAACCCCTCACTCTCCCACAGCTCGTCTCTGAGAAGAAAACTTACTACCTGACTGCAGATTCCCCCAGCCTACTAGAGGAGTGGATCAGGGTACTGCAGAGCCTGCTGAAAGTCCAGGCCATTGGGCCTCCAGCCCTGCCTCCGGGTGGTGCCAAGCCCACTGTGAAGGGCTGGCTGACCAAGGTATGTAAAGCTGGTAGCAGTGGGGTGGGGTGGGGGAGATGGAATGGACCTCCTGAGGGTCAGGGAAGCCAGGAGGAGTTCCCTCCTCATACACAACTCCTTTCTCCAGGAACTTCCTCACAGCAGCTAGTGGTTGGTCTTCAAACCTGGTCTGACCATACAAGATAATGATGAGTGAGTCCTTGGAAACAAGGAACAGTAGTTATCCTCAAGACAGAGGAGGGAAAGGAAGATCTTGTACCCACTTTGATGTCAATAGTAATTGCCCTTACCCCTACCTTGTTCCCTCACCAAGACTCAATATTTTTGTTGTTAAGTGCCACGGACTTGGTTGTGACTCATAGCGACCCTGTACAGTTTCTGAGGAGCAGCTGGTGAGCTTGAACCACCAACCTTGCGGTTCAAACTGACTTTGCAGTCCAGCAAGTTAATCCACAGTGCCACACCAGGACTCAATATTAGTACAAATAAGACCAATTGCCATCAAGTCATTTCAACTCCTAGTGATCCTATTATACAACTTCCAAGACTTGAATCTTTACAGAAGCAGACTGCCAGACGTTTCTCCCAAGGAGCAGCTGGCGAGCTAGAACTGCCAACCTTTTGGCTCACCATAAAGCGCTTGACCACTGCACTACCAGGGATCCTTTCAGTATTAATTGTGGGAAGCTAAGACTCAGATGAGGTAGCTGTAGCCATTCAAAGACTCATAGAATGCCGCCGTATACCCAGGGCCCAGAGGCCTGTGGTAGAGACATTTCAGTTAGGAGTCTTCTTCTTACAAGCATTTGTTACTCCCAGAGAAGGGAAGTTAACAAGGAAGTTAACAAGAAAACTAGATTCAAAAGCCATCAGGAATGAAAGTATTAGAGCAAGCACAGTGCTCAAAGGCTCTCCCTGGCTCCCTGTATGTTATTTTCTGCCTGGGAGCAGTTTCTGTTCCCTCAAGATTTCCGTTGCCCAAGGGCTTTCAGCTTGTCCTGACCTCACCTCCCTCAGGGCTTCCTTCAATTTATATAATCTGTTTTATAGATCATATTCCTGGGAGAGGAAATCTGATTGGCCTATTGAATGTTTTAATTGCAGATCATAGGTCAGTGAGCAGCAGCCTAGGGGTCTAGTCATCTTGTCACATGACAAGCAGCATAACGCCCTTGCTGTGAAAGAGGTGGTTTCCCTTACTTGGGGAGTCTAAGTGACCTCTCCTTAGTGGACCTGAGTTTGACTTCAGGTTTTGACATTTGTCTCCCTGTGGCTTGTCTTTGCCAGCCCTGTATTTATTCCCAGAGTTGCTTAGTTCTAATAATGCTAGTTCATTTCATTCTTACAGGTAAAGCATGGCCACTCAAAGCTGGTCTGGTGCGCTCTCATTGGAAAAACTTTCTACTACTATCGGAGCTATGAGGACAAGGTATGTTCTAGGGCTTGAATGAGACCTTTTAACAGCACCTACTCTTCCACTTCCTCTAAACCACATAAATGTGGCTCCATGTCCTGATGGACGTCCCTAGCTTTACATTGTCTTCTACCTACCCTTCCCCACCCAGTACAGAAGCCAGCTGGCTGGATCCCCTGAGTGCACAGCCAGTGAATTCTGCTTGTGTAGTCCATCCCTGTATGACTAGGATGCTGCATCTCCACCCCCATCTTGTCATCCTGTCCATTATCCGCGGCTCTACAGAGCCCAATGGTCCCCCACTGCTGTCCCACTCATGGAAAACTCCTGTCCACAGCGACCCCTGGGCCGCCTGCCCATGAGGGATGCACGAATAGAGGAAGTAGACCGATCCTGTGACTCAGATGAGGACTATGAGGCCGGAGGAACTGGACGGTTGATTTCCTCTCACTGCACCTTGGTGATACACCCCCCAGAGCACAGCCCCACCTACCTCCTGATCGGCACCAAGCATGAAAAGGTAAAGGAGGGACTGGGCCTCTATGGCAAAGCTTGGATCTGAAATTCCAATTTCTCTTCTCTCTTAGCACCTAGCTCCCCAAATTTATTTCCCTTGTGGACACTTTGTCAAAGAGTATTCTCTGAATGGCAATATTCCCTTATATTGAATTCACAATGATCAATGTAAGACCATAAGCTGGGAAATTTGGATTCATGTTCACCTGATCCTCTGTCTTCTTAGAAACTAGTGGCCTCGACTTGTACCAACCAACAACTGAAATCCCACCATGGGCTCGGTCCCTTCAAGGAGCCTGCTTTGGAACTATTGCCTCTACTGCTTCCAGTCCTTCCTCTCAGATGACTTTCCATCTTCTTCTAGGATACATGGCTTTACCACCTCACGGTGGCTGCAGGGGGCTCTAGTGCCAAGGTGGGCACTATCTATGAGCAGCTCATTAGAAAATTGATGGATGGTAAGGGCGATCCAGGTAAGGCAAAGGCAGCCATCACTGCTCGGTTGAGGGTAGTGACTGGGTGATGAGCAGCTAGGAACCCACAGAAAGCACTATTATGCCCTGAAACTGGGTTTTCAGTTGTGGTTTTTTTTTTGGTTTGTTTGTTTTTTTCCTGTCAAATACTATATTTTTTCTAAAATACTATCAGTTCATCAAATATGAACTGAAAATGGATTTACAATTAACACAGGAAGTTGTTTGTGCCATAAAGTCAATTCCAACTTGGAGTGACCCTATAAAACAGAGCAGAGCTGCCCGATAGGTTTCCCAGACTGTAGTAACCTTTAAGGGGCAGATTGCCAGGTCCTTTCAACTGGCAAGCGCTGGTGAGTTTGAACCAGTTAACTTTTGGTAAGGAGCAGAGTGCTTAACCATTGTGCCACCATGGCGGCTTTGTGGCTGTTTTTAAAATATCTACAGAGGGGAGCTCCAGGGCCCCTGTCTTTGGTCAAGATACTGAAGTGACCATTCTTTGTGTCAGAGAGGGTTTATTTGGGCGAGTCTCTCCGGTGACCTGGTAAATGTTTTACTACTCTCTTCAGTCTGTAGCTTTGTTGGCTCGGCCGAAGTTTGAACAAAGAAAGGTAACTGGTTAATCTATAGTTAAGAATTTGTTAATCAACAAATGGTGCCTACACTGGGATCAGGTGAACCGAACCCTAGGGTGTTTGGGGGTCATTTTCTACTGATACCCGAACGTTGAGGAACTAACTGAAGGCACACATGCCCCTTTTCTACTGCTCTGAGGCTTATTTCAGGCTGCTCCCTATACTCAGGGAGGCCTGGCCTGCACACATGTGTGCACTCAGATGCCCATAACCTTACACACATCCGTCCCCCTGCTGGAGCTCCATGAGTAAAGCGGCAGCCACCTTCCTGTAGTCATGCTCACTGAGTGTGCTAATTACAGTCTGCGGCTGCATGACTGCGGTGTGGATGCAGTGTGGATGACAAACCCCGCACAACCTGTGTTCCAGTTCCACCATGTGAGTGGGAGGCAGTTCTCTCCTCAATGGTAAGTGTTGCAGCTCTCTGGTGTTGTGTGTTGGGCAGATTCCCCTCTCTGGAGGCATCCCATGCTGTGCTACAGTAAAGATGGCCTCTGCGCCTCCCTCACCACCTTGCCCTCCGAGGCACTGCAGATGGAGGCCCTCAAGCTCTTCAAGGTAAAGTGGGAGTGCAGCCCAGGCCCACGGGCTAGTGGCACCCACACATGTGCTCAGGCACTGCCTGTGGTGCATTGTTAATACTCAGATGAAAGAAAGGAATGAAAGCCCCCGGGATAGGATGGCCACTGCTTTCTTTATGGCAGGAATGTAATCCTCATGCAGGGCAGACAGGGAGGGAGGGTGCCAATGCCAATGAAAATGCCCCTGAGGCGCACCCCTCCTTCTGTAGTTCAAAGCAGGAAAAGCAGGACTTCTGGCACTTCTGGATCTGAGAGATTAACAACCTATTCAGAATATTATTTGTGCCTGTTTGAATTTCCTCCTCCTTTTCTTGATTATGTGAACTTATTAAAGAAAGACTCTATCCAGAAGTGTGCCCCTCTCAGAGGCGCTGTCAGTGAATTGAGCCTCCTGGGGCCCTGCCTGTTAACTTCTCCCCATGAAGTTAGAGACACCACCCCTCTGTCACAGAGGGAGTAATTAGGGGGCTTTCGTTCTCATGTGCCCACCGCCCTACCCTTTCAAGTCTTGCCAGCTCTTCATCAACGTGCCTGTGGAAGCCACCTCAGTGGACTATCACGTGTCCCTGGCCCAGACAGCACTACAAGTGTGCCTGGTTCACCCCGAGCTACAGAGTGAGATCTACTGCCAACTCCTGAAGCAGACTAGGTGCCGCCCACCTCAGAAGTACTCCCTCATACAGGTGGGCATCTCCAGGGCCAGAACCGCTGACAGCCATTGGCAGGGGCTGCCCAGGAGGGGGCAAGGTGGAAGGCATTGACTGGGCAGGTATCCTTGGAGCTAGCCAGGGACAGGACAGCCAGCATGCTCATAGTTGCCTCAGTGCAGGTGCCCTGTCTGGATCTGTAAGCATAAAGGCCACAAACGCTGACCATCCAGTCCCACAGATGGGTGGGGGCTCTGGTTGGAGGAAGGGGTGCTAAGGCTCTGCAGCACAGGACTGTGAAGGTAGAGGGTGCTGTAGGCCCAGCCCTCACCCCATGGTGCCTGTTTCCCTGCTAGTGCTGGCAGCTCCTGGCTCTGTGTGCCCCCCTCTTCCTGCCTCAGCATCATGTCCTCTGGTACGTCAAACAGCAGCTCCAGCGCCACGCAGACCCCAGGTGAGTGAGCATCATTTCCTCCATCATTCTAACACTCCCAACCATGGCATAGTTGAGAGATAGGGGCGCAGGGTGCTGCGGGATACACCAAATGGAGAAAGCTTCTTCTCGCCCCTGAGATTTACACAATGGAACCTGTGGATCTGGGCATGTGTGAGCTTCTCAGCACACAGTCCATGTATCCATGGATGTTGTGTGGGTGTGCTCATGTGAAGCCATGCGCTTGTTGGTTGCTGTTGAGTCGGCCTCAATTCATGGCAACTTTCTATAGAATAGAGAATCACTGCCTTGTCCTGTGCCATCTGAAGCCATGTTGCTCTTAAGTTTTCATTCGCTGTTGCTGTATTCTTCTGGCTTCTGGAAGAAAATGGCCATACCAGCAACCTGCAGCAAATAGGTCCTGAATGGCATATTAACACCCTCAGACTTTGGGTTTTTTTCACAGCCTGCCCTAGCCGACAGATTTGACCTGACCACTGGTGTGGTGCTGTAGGATCAGCACTAGAATGCTAACCACAAGGTCATCAGTTCAAACCCACCAGCCACTCCTTAGAAACCCTGTACAGGGTCACTATGAGTCAGAACCAACTCAATGGCACTTAGCAACAACAGGTCTCAGTAAAGGACCTAGGGTGCTATGGGTGTGGAGTCCTTAATACCCTCCCCTTCCTGAACCTGTATCTTTAGAAATGAGACTGGCCAGTATGCCACCTACTGCCAGCGGGCAGTAGAGCGGACTCTGCAGACTGGAGAGCGGGAAGCCAGGCCTTCTCGCATGGAAGTGGTGTCCATCTTACTACGGAACCCCTTCCACCACTCCTTGCCCTTCAGCATCCCTGTGCACTTTGCCAATGGGACTTACCAGGTAAGAAGCCTGGGTGTGTTCCCTGCCCTGAGACTTCTCATATCACTGCCCTATTGGACTAGGTGGGTGCTAGGCCTTCTTAGGCTTGGTGGTCTTAATATGTAAGTCATCAAAAGGGATGAGCTTTTAGGGGTTGGTGAGTTGGGGATTAGTATCAGTGTACAGGAAGAAAAGAACTTAAATCACTTCACTATTCGGTGCCCTGGAAATACATCTTTTGAACTCACTGCACAAAGAGGGGAGCTGAAACCCTGACCAAGAATGTGGCACGAACACAGGCATGCAAAAGCTTGGCAGTAAAGAAGGAACCCTCTGTGCCCAATTCTGTCACAATGGGCAAACTCAGGCCTTGAGCACTTGCCCTCTGCATATGAATCTGGAAACCTTGCTTTGGCATCTTGCCTTCCCCCTAGTTCCACCCCATTCAGCCAGCCCTTCCCACCACCTGTACATAGACCCCTTCACTAGCCCTATGAACTCATCCCAGGAAGTTCACTCTCTCCTCAGGTCGTAGGTTTTGATGGTTCCTCCACAGTCGAAGAGTTCCTCCAGCAGCTGAACCAGGACACAGGCATGAGAAAGTCCTCCCACTCTGGCTTTTTCCTCTTCACGGATGATCCTTCTGGCAGGGACCTGGAACACTGCCTCCAGGGGAGTGTCAAGGTGCTAGTCTTCCCAGCCACCTCCCAGCCCTGGTGGTGGGGGAAGAGTCTGTCTGGTGGGTGTGACTGTTCAGCAATCTGTTTGATACCCAAAGACACAGAGGGGGTCTGAGAAGAGCCGGCACTCTGTGCTGTCCTAAACCGTACCAGTGCAGGCAGGGAAAAGCCGTGTGTGCCTGCTGTGTCTCTGGAAACAGGATCGCCACACCCTGCTTCCCTCAGCCTAGTGTCGGAAGGACAGAGGCACCTCTCAGCAACAGTTCCAGCTGAGCCTGCTATGGACACATACCTGTATATCTGGACCCACTGGGGGTCATGCTGCACACCAGCACCACCCCTGTACCCTGACTGCCTGAGCTTCTAGGTCCATTTGCATTTTAAGGGGGCAGATCCTTATGGTACATCTGTAAGCAAAGGCTCTTGAATGTGACTTCAGAAAGACCTACTTTGTACTGTAGTCTGGGATTCGTACCATGGGGAATGTTAAGTTTTGGTGGGGATGTGCAGAAGAACTTGATGGATGTATTTCAGCACCAGTATTTGCTTTATGGCAATAAGACAAAAGCTGCGATAGTCTCTTACCACTGCTTGGCATTAAGTATGCCATGTCTTCTCTGTATAGTGTCCATCCCCTGTAAAAGCTAAACAGTTGGCCTCTGGCTGAATTTGTTAACAAGAATGGCAGTCAGTGGAATGGAAATGGAGCCCATGCTATAAGGTCACGTGTTTTGACTGGGGTTAGGGGTGGGAGGGTGACAGTGAAGACAGCCTTCCTTCCTTTGCTGCTTACACCACGTGCAGGGCTCATTCCCCCTCTCCACCTCCTCATGAGGGTTCCGGGAGCATGAGGCCCCACAGGCCAGCTTCCTGATAAGACACTCAGCTCTGACTTTCTGTAATGTACAAGGCCAGCTATAGTTGGACCAGGCTTTCCCTCTTCACAGGCTTTACTGATTTCCGTCTTTTGCCTCTTCAAGATCTGCGATGCCATCTCCAAGTGGGAACAAGCCCTGAAGGAGCTCCATTCTGGGAAGTCTGAGGGTGGCACACGTATCGTGAAGCTGATGTACAAGAACAGGTCCTGAGCACTAGCTGGGGGGTGGGGCCAAACACAGGGGCTGCCAGGAGGGTGCCAGCTCAGCCCCTCCCCAATGACAGGCATAGCACAGCGTGGTAGTCATGAGCTAGGGACCAGGTTGGTTCTACTGATTCTCTGAGGCTCTGGGGAGCTCAGGTTCTCCATCAGCCTTCCTGTACACCACACAGACCCTCCAAGAAAACAGACCAACTCCATGAGTATGGGCACCAAACGCTTAAGGCTACAAATAAACTGTTGTTAAGTGCCGTCAAGTCAGTTCTAACTCAGTGACCCTATATAGGGATTCCGAGGAGTGGCTAATGGGCTTGAACTGCCAGCCTTTCAGTTATCCTACAGCAGCATGCCATGACTCCAAAACAAAGAATAAATGCCTCCTATATTAATTCCTGGTATGGCGCTGTGGGTTAATGAGCCAGACCGCAAAGCCGTTTGAACTGCAAGGTCAGCGGTTCAAGCTCACCAGCCGCCCCTTGTGAACCCTATACAGGGTCGCTATGGGTTGGAATCGACTCTGGCACTAACAACAATGTATTAATTCCTAGAGTCCTGCTGTGGTGCTGTGGGTTAATGCACTGGACTGTAAAGTCAGTTTGAACCATAAGGTCAGTGGTTTAAGCTGACCAGCTGCTCCTGGAAAGCCTTATACAGGGTTACTATGGGTCGGAACTGACTTAATGGCACTTAATAACTTATTAATTCCTGAGGAATCTTGGTGTGACATTGTAGGATAAGCACTAGACTGCAAGGTTGGTTAGAACCACAAGGTCGGCAGTTCAAACTGCTGCTCCTCGGAAACCCTGTACAGGAGCTGAGTCAGAACTGACTTGATGGCACTGAACAACAACTGCGTATTAATTCCAGGAAATACAGTAGTAGACATCCTGACTTAAGTAAGAAAATTCTATCCCAGGCATGTCTCCAGGCAAGTAACTTCTATTAGTCTATTGGAATCTTGCAGTCCTATTGCGGTGCTGTAGGATAAGCACTGGGCTGCTAACTGCAAGGTTGGCTGTTCAAACCCATCATCCACAACTCATCCTGTACAGGGTCGTTTTGAGTCGGAAACAACTCAACAGCACTTAACAACAACAGCACTGGAATTTTAAGAGTGTTGGTGTGGCGCTGTAGGGTAAGCACTGGACTGCTAACTGCAAGGTCGGCAATTCAGATCCATCATCCACTCGGTGGCCACTCACTATGAGTCAAAACCAGGTCGATGGCACTTAACAACAAAGTATTATTGGTATGACACCTACATGGCCCTAGATCTGCTCTGTGTAATACTTGGTTAAATTTTTCTGGAGACAATAAAATATAGGTACACAAAGGTATAAAAAAAAAAAAAGAGTATCTTCTTTTTTAAAAAATGTAAATAAACAGATCCCAAGAGAGTTTTGTCCCTTTCTGGGAGCCAAGTTGAGTCCTGGCGTCTTCTTACTGTCTGCCCTGTAGGCTGTACTTTCGGAGTCAAGTCAGAGGGGAGACTGAGCGAGAGCGGCTGCTGCTGGCCTCACAAACTAGTGGAGAGATAGTGGCCGGGAAGTTCCCTGTCAACAAGGAACTGGCTCTTGAGATGGCTGCCCTGATGGCCCAGGTAAGTTTCTGACTCATGGGGTGGGGAGTGTGGGGTGGGGTCTGCAGATGCCTGGACAGCCAAGGGAGAAGCTGATTTCCAGCACATCAAGGCTAAGTGTCAAACACTAGACCTGGTGGAATCCAGAGACCTGTGTCTTGACTCCTAGCCACCTTTTAGCTGTGATATCATGGGCAAGTCACTTCACTTCTGTGCTTTAGTTCCATTCTCAGTTTACTGAAAACAAAAATACCAACCAGTTGCCCCAACAGGGTTGTTTTAATGAGCTTATGCTCATAATATTATTGTAAACTGTCATATCCTGTAAGTAGACCATAAAGACAAAACTCTCATTCAGACTTGGGACTCTTCTCCCTGCTGTCTTTAGGAGGCTGTCTTGTCAAAACTATCTGGGACACCTTCAGGATTCCTATGGAAAGAGTCTGGACCTACATATTGAAGGGGATGGAAATAATACTAGTAGCTCTTGTAATAATGAACATTTACTGAATACTCCAGTGAGTGCTGTGCTAGTCATTTGACATGTATTATCTCAGAGTCTGTACTTGGTCAGGGTCAGAGAGCTGGTAGGTGGACGGCTATACTCCGGAATCTGTAGCATCTTCAGTCCTGTAACCCGTATTTATAGAATTGGAAGCCAGAATCCCCAAATCCTTTTCCCTTGTCTGCCTCTAATTATATCTTTGGATAGCAGGCACTAACCTCAGCTACAAAATGAAGAGTCTAGACAATCTCTAATATCCTAGGATCCTAAGGTGGTTTCTCTAGTGTTTGTGAAACTTGAGATAAAGGCTCTGTATACAAATGTTTTTCACATCCATTCACACTCCAGACCAGTAATGAAATAATGATTTCTTTCATCTCTCCAGCAGCACCCCAACCCCCACCGCATCCACCTCTAGATTCTTGACTGATCTCCCCATGTGCTTCTACCATAGGTAGAATATGGAGACTTGGAGAGGCCTATCCTGCCAAGTCCTGGGGGCACACCCCCTGCCAAAGCTCAGCATCTCCTCCAGCAAGTCCTAGACAGGTTCTACCCAAGGCGCTACAGACACGGGGTCCCCCCTGAACAGCTGAGGTAAGCTACAAGGTGTTGGGGAGTGTCACTGTGGGCAGGCATCGCTGCTATGAAAACATTGTGGCACTCAACTGGTACCATTTCTCTCCATCTGTCCAAACTAGGCACCTGGCAGATATGCTGACCACAAAGTGGGCAGCACTACAAGGCTGTTCCCCTCCTGAGTGCATCCGCATCTACCTGACTGTGGCTCGGAAATGGCCCTTTTTTGGTGCTAAGCTCTTTACTGCTCAGGTAGGGGCCGGTGGTTACACCCTCAGGAGTGCCCCAAATTTCCATGTAACTTCCATCTCCATCTAGCCATGTTTGAGTCAGTTGAGTCTGCAGCCTCGGCCTCCACACTAACAGCCAACCACCAGGGGTCACTACCTCTCCACCCATTTCTGGCATACTCTATAGACCTAAGGTCCAGGGCAAAGTTGAGATTCATAGTTTCTGGGCCAGAAGTAGTTCAGAGTGATCCTCATCTTTTCTTTGTTCTTCCTTGAAAGAAAAGATAGTATCAACTCATTCACACACAAGTGTTCAGCCTTAATATGATGATCTTCTCTCCAGTGCTTTCATTACAAAAAATTTGAATGTTAGAGCAATGCTTAAACCCAAACAAATCAATCTCTAATGACTTCCCATGGCACACAAAGGAATCAAACTACTCAGGCCTAGGTGAATTTTATCTGTACAGATTCCAGGTAACCAACATTAATTTCAATTGGAACTTTTCCTCACTGATTGTCTGATGTTCTTGAAGTTCATACATAATCACAGAGATTATCCTATCCTCAAAGCTACTGATCCTCCTGAAACTATAGATCAAGCACTGGATAGTCACACACTCAATCAGCCAATATAGTTGCTGCATTTCTGCTGTTTCAGGCTGTTCGCTAGTTGTCTGAGGTTACAAGGAGAGCAAATCAGACAGTTCTTACCTTCATGGAGCTTCCCATCCATCTAATGGGGAAAATAACACCTAATCAAAACATCAATCTCTCTATATTTATCAGTAGTTCAAACCCACATGCCGCTCCTTGGATGCTCTATACAGGGTTGTTATGAGTCGGAACTGACTCAGTGGCACTTAACAACCACAACATATGTATGTATATGTACTTTCAAGTTTTAAAATAAACTCTTACAAGTGCTTTGAAGTACAGGGGTGTAGTTAAAACAGGGGAGTACCACTTAGTCTTGAAGGTTGGGGAAACCTTCTATTAAAGGTGGTGATTACCCATCCTTCTCTCCAGCCTTTTAAGAATGGGGAATAGGAAATCTGGATCACCTTACTGCAGCCATGGTAGAGGTTAGCTTTTGAAGGAAGAGCATACCTACTAGTCACTTTTCTCACTGGTTGGCAGGGCCTAAAGTCCATAAAATTTCATTCTTGCCTGTTTCTTTTACAGTCCCTAGGAATTTGGTTGAAGCAAGATACACTTCAGCTGGGAGAGTCTCTTGGGCAAACACTGTCAGTCTTAAGAGCGCTAGGAAGAAACACCCTGTTCTCCATGCCCATAGCAAGGCAGCCAAGGCTGGTCTCTGTTCTGCACCACAGTGTTCTGGGGCATGATGGGTTTATAGGTGTGCCAGGAGCTTAGACTCCTCTACCTCTGGATGGTTAGGTAATAGAGCCTCGAGGCCAGATGCCTCCTGCCATAAACAGTTTTGTTTGTTTACTACAGTAAATGAACACCATTTTCTAATTCTCCAAGGTGAGAAAAAGGCTGAAAATGACTGTTTAGCAGACCCCTGGGTAAACCTTTTTCCTCAGAGCGCTCTTACAGTTCAGGATCCCTAGGCTGTGGATCTGCCTTAGAAATTTTCCTGTTTCTCAGCCTGCCCAGCTACCTTTCACGGAGAATGCTGTAGTGTGGATTGCTGTGAATGAGGATGGTGTCAGCATTCTGGACCACAACACTATGGTATGGAGGGATGAGGGCTGGCTCCTTGACCCCTTCCTTCTCCTCTCTCAGTTAAGCTAAGTGACAGGAGCTTTCCCAACACCCTGCCTAAGTATGGCTCTCCTGCAGTCTAGACATTCAAGACATAGTTCTCCAAATTGTGATGATTCTAGAGTTCTCCCTTTCTGGTTAAAGTTACATGTGCCTAAGAAAGACAGATGAATGTTCCTAGATTCAGAGGCAGGTGCAGAGTTCCTCAGACTAACTCTGACCTTTCCACAGCAAGTGCATGTCACTTACCCCTACTCTTCAGTGACTACATTTGGTGGCTGCCGGAATGACTTCATGCTTGTGATTAGAACCATTCCAGACCAGAGCTCTGGAAAAAGCCACATTGAAAAGTTGATCTTCCGAATGACTGCTCCTAAGGTGGGTCTAGCAGTTGCTAAAATATTGTACTCTACTGGTATGATGTGGTGGGCTTAGAGCTTAGAGAGGAATCTAGGAGTATGATGGTATTCTATACGGGACCTGCCCCCTTATAAAGTATTTGGTCTTGTCTATAACTGCAAGGTTAGCAGTTTGAATCCATCAGCTGCTCCACAAGAGAGCAGTGGGTTTGGGCTACAGTCAACATTCCAAAGGGTTCAGGTAGAGTTGCATCTCAGTAGTCACTATTGACCTGGGAGGTGGAAAGAGTGCCGAGAGCCAGCCCCGGCATACTTATTCCAGGTTTTTTTTCCGAAGGCGGGTGCGGCATCGGCGATTAAGGGATTACATGGAGTCATGGGTCATGATAAATTCAAAATCTTATTACATGCTTTATTTATTATTTCTATGGCTACTCTAATACTCTACTTCTTTCATTCTTTACTCCCCTGCTCTCCTGCTCATCTCTTCTGCTTCCTTTCTCCCCTCCCCTGCTCCTGTTTTCCTTCTCTCCTCTCCTGCTTCCTTTCTATTCATCTCTTCTGTTTCTTTTCTCCCTTTCCCTCCTTCCATTTCTTTACTGTCTCCTTCTCTACATTACTCTTATTCTTTTTCTTTCTACACTACTACTCCTCATTATCTACATTACTACTTTTACTACTCCACTCCCCTGCTTCTTCTCTACATTACTCTCTCTATCCTCCCTCCATTCTTGTCTCGTCTCCTCTCCACTTCATATTCCTTCTTCTCTCCCTACTTCTTTCTGCTTCTACTTACTTCTTTCACTCTTGCCTCTACATCTCTTACCTCTCTCCTTTTTTCTACTTTCTTCTACCTTCCTCTACTTACTGTTACCTCTACTTCTTGCCTCTATTCTTACTTACCTCTACTTCTACTTCCTTTCTTCTACTTTGTTCTATCTTACAACGCCCTTATATACCATTACAGAAAACATTGCATTCATAGTAATCAATGACATCAAGGTACAATCTATCTTGGGGCACATTCCTCATGGTTTACAATTCTTAAATTTACAACAGGGATGAGAAGTTACAGCAAAAACATTACCTCAAGGCATAGGAGACATTCAGGCGCCTTGAAACCTTTTAGTTAAACATTTGTTCCTACATAAATCTGTTCTTTTCTCTGAAAAGCAAGTTCTGAAAAGCAAGTTAACTTTACATGTTTCTTGACCTTTGTTAGTCAAATCTTAAGCCATCAAGCCTAATTGTCAGGTGCAATTTACACTTCCTTAACTTCCTCCTACAGAAACATCCCTTCTCAGGAAAGCTGAGGCTATCAAAACAATTTCCCTATTTTACTGATCAGACTTCTTATTTATATAACTGTAGATTCTCACAACCCTTATCTATACTCTAATTAAAATTTTTCTGAAATTCTTGTACCCACAGCACTTATTTATGGTCTATTCATGTTTAGGATTCTTTATTGCCTTAAACTAAGACTACAAGGAAGAATGTTTACAATCACTAAACCTAAGCTGGTAGTAGTTCAATTGACAAATCCTGTCTCCTAGCAGTCTTAAGAACATTGTTAATATAAGTATTAAAACTACCTATGATTACAAGTAGAATAAAATGTAGCTAATGTGTGGCTTCTAACTTTTAATGAAACTATACTAAAGTGTAGGAGAGTCAAAAATCTAAAGTAAAAAGGGAAACTAATAAAATCATGAGTAAATCAGAGAATGATTCAACAAGAGAAAAATTTAACTAGGGGTCTGTGCATAAAAAATAATAAAACAACTCTTTGTGGCTCTGCCATCCAAAGAGAAAAAGAAAGAGAAAGAAAAAGAAAAAGAAAATAGTTCATTGTTGCAAAAACAATGAATTCTTCATGCGCAGGTTCCCCCATGTCTCATTTATTTAATTCCTCGATTAATATGTCTCAATTTATTTATTTTAATTCCTTAATTAAGTATGGCTGTTGCCAAGAGAGCTAGTGGGGAGTAACGAATTCTGGTTCAGCTGCTATTATATTTTTCACGTTATCATTTTTTAGTTCTCCAGGCCCCAGCACCATGCAGGCCCATTTTCTCTTTTCTACTTCGTATCACATCCTAGAGCCAGACCAGCTTCCTTTTGAAGGATATCTCACTCTTTCTTGAGTTCTTCTGTGCCCAACACTATCCAAAATGAGACAGTTTCCACATATGCCCCTTTCCTTATGGTACAGGAAATGTTGACTAACAAAAATAACAGTTGTAAATGCTTAAAAATCTACGAAGATGACTTACAGTTCTTGACTTTCTTCTTAGGATAACTGGAAACCCTACTGCTTCTACTTTTAATCCTAAAGTTGCAGTTTGCCAAACCTACTTCTCCTTTTAATACCACCTGCCAAACGAGAGGATAGGATTCTTCTTCCCAGAAGGCCCTCTTTCCCCAGCCCTGTAGACAATCAGAGCAGAATAGCGGTTGCTCCTTTTCCCGGGAGGATACTGTGCATCTCAGAGCACCTCCAGATCAACAGATGCCCATTGCACTGGGCCTCTAGAGGAATCTCACAGTAATGATTCCCTTTGAACATTTTCTCACAAGTGGGTATTTAAGAGACGATGAAGCTGAAGCCCACAAAGGTTAGGCACCCAACATATGCCTAGTAAGCCAGAATTCAAACCAAGGCCAATTCAATTCCTTTGTTTTTGTCTTCTCCTTAGATAGCAGAGGCTACTTGTATCATGGCCAGCTATATGAACCATTGCTCTGCAACTGTGAACCCACCAAGCAACCCACCTGTTTCCCGCCAACCTTGGGAACTAGATGGACGGCAGTTCTTTGCTTTTATTCCACATGCTACCAAGGGTCCAACATTACTGTGAAGATTTCTCCTATGCCCTCATGCCTCAACCTGGCCCCTGTAGGATTAGCTATAATTCCTGGGGTGTCTGATACTACTGAGATGGGTGTAACTGTCCTCTCCTTGGTTTATCCTGTGAAAATGTTTGCGTATTTTAGTGTCCACAAAGCCTTTATTCTCCTGGTGCCTTACAAAATTTCAGGGCCCAATTTCTAAAAACCCAGTGAGGGCCACTCACTTTTTTTCCATAAGAATATTGAGCTCTGGCTGCTAACTTATTCTAGACATAGACGGGATAGTCCACGGTACCTGAGGGCAGCAGTGCTATACGCCAAGGTACTCTCAGGGAAATTCATGTTTTCAAGAGCGTATGTAATCCTAATTTGGGGATTTTTACTTGAAGTTTTCCCAACATCCCTGAACAGGATAGGACTAAAATTTCCAGTTCAACTAAACCTCTAACAAAAACCTAGAACTCATTAAAACTGGACTTGTTTCCCAGGTAGGGAAGGTATTAGCTTTACATGTAGGCAAGGCAGATAAAAAAGCATAGAGTCACCCTTCCCTTTACCAGCAAGTAGATGATTGCAGTACCCATTCTCGGGCAGCAACCCCTGACCTTTGCAGAACATGCTATCCCTGCTAAGATTGAAACTCTTCTCTTATTCATTGGACTACAAGCTAAACTCAGTACACAAACTGCCCAAACAAGGGGTTGTCCAATCTGACCTCTCCCTGTTTCGCTGTAATTTATTGGGCAGTGAAGGCTGTGCTCACTACTGTAGGATGAGTGGCTTCATTGGTTTTCCCACTCTTTGAAAGGCCAAGCAAATATGCTCTGCCTCTTGCTGCTCTGAGAGGCTAACAAAGATGATAAGGAACACAGAGAACTCCCTCCAGGCTCATGGCCCTGAACTGCTCAAGACTTCTGGCAAACTTCTGCTGGGCATTAGTTTGAAAACAGAGGACACATATGCAACATCTATCCTAACCTAATAGAATCAGGTGAAAGAAATAGGAATTTTCTTTTACCTTTTGCCATCATTGACAACCCCCATCCCCCTGACCTTCCCGTAATCAAAACCTAACAAAATAACGAAGAGTTCACACTCTGAAAATGAGTTTTATTTTATAGTTCTAATGTAGGCATACCACTTGTCAGTAAAGTGCTGGAAACTGGATGGGTTTAGCAGTAGCATCTAAGAAGCGATCCTTTAACCCTAACAATGTGTGCTAAGTGCACACTGCAAAAATATGGCTGCAACTATTTTATCTAAACACCTCAGCCGCTCTGAGCGTCCCCTTCTTCCCCCTTTAAACTGACAAGCATGATGAAAAAACACATCAGTCTGCCTCTTATAACTGAACTTGACTTTGTAAGGTAGCAGTTTTATAGCCATCTCCCACTTCTGTTCCCGCCTTTTGCACCAGAATTTAAGGATCTAGCTGAGACGTTTCTACCTCGAACAAACCACATCTCACATGTACCACAGTTCCTGGATAACTCCTCCAAGGGCTGGTGTAAAAGACGGAGGTTACAGTTCAGATTTTATAATATCTTGACTGTCTCTAGGACCAATGAGGGGTGGGGGAGTTTAAAAAAAAAATTACAAGAAATAAGCAAGGAGTTGTTTTCATACTGAACTTGAGCCTACTCTATTTCCTCCACCTTCTCTCCTTCCCAGCCCTTCGAGAAGCCTCTCTTGATTTACTAATTTCATACAGAAGAAGCTTTCTTGTAAACAACAGTTTCTATAGTTCTATGTTAATCCTCCTTTAACACAGGAGTCCCATGTTTGGAAAATAAGTCAAACTCCTATCTGACCTTTTGACTCAACCCTCTTGGCATAGATAATGCTGAGTAACCATAGATAATGCTGAGAAATCATAAATAATGCTGAGTAACACAAAAGTATTCATGTGCTTGATACCCATGACTGAAATGCCATGTTTATCAATAAAAAGCAGCTGTCTGTGAATCAGGCAATGGTGTATATTTTGGAAGGTGATTTGTTTATTGAGAATTATAAATTAACCCTGTACAGAATACAACAGCCAGGTGGACAGAGAATATAGTCTTTTGTGACATTTCTTTTTGCTCATCAGTAGCTGAAGGGCTTGCCTTTTTTATTAACTTTTTACACGGGTACTATGCAATTGGGAATGATACCTTTCTCAACAGATCTGGTATCAGATTCTCAACTGTCTTATTCCACACATTTCCAACAGAAAGTAAACTGAATGTGCTTAGGAATTTCATAACTGTTCTTTGCTGATATAATTTTTGACAAATCATTTCTTATAAAGTCTCCCCTCAGTTGGTGAAGTAGGCAAAACCTACCAAGGGGAACACTAAAATACACAGAAATATGTTGCTCAACATCACACAATGAATTAGGTTTCAGTCACCTGCTCTATGGCTCTGAGATCCACAGTATCCACACTGGGTTCCTAGGAATGTGTCCACCTGATGCTTTAGAATACAGAAAAGAAACTAGCCACTATGGCTTAAGAGTCATCTCCATGGAAGACAATACTGGCCTTTTGAATGCTGGGCCTCATGGGCTTGTGGATGTGGCTTTCTGGTGTGCCAGGATCTCCTGGCAGCTCCTGTACACTTCAATCAAGCAGTCCAGCCGGGGCTTGGCACTCTGAATTCCAAAGGCGAGAAATGCAGAGTCAAGATGAACGTTAAGAGAATGCTCAGTGGGGCTGCATCCATGTACAAACTCAATCTCTCACCCACATCAAGGGGCAGAAATGGTAGTGATGTAAGCTCAGAGAGCAAAAATTCAGGCCTTATAGCACTTTGCGCGAGGGATCGAAAACTGCCCATAGCCCAGCCTGTGAACTGTGAGGCAAGAACTCAAAAGACAGTTTTTTAGCCTGTCTAAATGTTATGGCCTTAAGAGTAAGTAAGAGGAGTAACAAGGGCAGATCCTCTCAAGAAATACCACAAGTTAAGATTATATAGAGTCCTCAGAGACCAGAAGGACAGCTTAATATGTAAATATTGAGAAATGTTTTGTGAGTTAAATGTGGGACAACTGAACTAAAAGAAAAGCCACAAATGGGAAAAAAAAAAAAGTAAAAATAGTATTTAATAGGAGTTACCCAAAATATAAAAAAAATGGTTACAAATATATAATATATAGATTCTTATGTAGATTCTATCTGGCTAATAGAAGAGATGGGTCTTTTAAAACAAACTATTAAGAAATACAAGGAAATATGACAAGTCATTTAAAGAGAGTACATATTTCATAATTAGTAAATGCTGTACCTACATAGTAAACTAAAAAAATAGCTAAATCCACTGCAAGTCTAAATTACAGAAAAGCAACTACAAATTCCCAACAACATGGTAAAGTGGTCCAATCTCTGGAGCCCAATCTCCATAAAGCTATTCATAAACTTTATAGGTATAATTTGGAATTATATTGCTTTTTTTTTTTTTTAAGCTGAGCTGCCTTAAATCTTCTGAAAGAAAAGAAAGGCAGCAAGCAGGGTTAAATGCAAACGTAAATATACATTTCTATAATCTATTATAGGAGCTCTGGTAGCATAATGGTTATGAGTCGGGCTGCCAACCTCAAGGTCAGCAGTTCGAAATTACCAGCCATTCCACAGGCATTCTGCTCCCGTAAAGATTTATAGCCTTGGAAACCCTGTGCAGGGTCGCTATAAGTTGGAACCAACTCCATGGCATGTAACAACAACATAATCTATTATAATCATGTTTGTACAAGGGATGTTTTAGTAACAGCAAACCAAAAAGTAACGTGGACAAAATTTTAAAAGCTAGCATTAGAGTGGCTAAAGTAAACTGATATTTCAACATGACAGAATGCTAGATAATTATTTAAAATAAGTATAATGGCCTTTGTTGATGCATGAAAATGTGCATCATTACTTAAGAAGGAAAACAGAAAACACTATGTAATCATATGTGGAGATCAATGGCATAAGACCAGATTGTATACTGGCAGACTGACAGAGTCAAAGTAGAAGACTGGTCATTTATAGGCAGAATTGCTACATATTTGTATGAAATTGCTAAAATTTGTATGAATTCATACTATTTAGCATAGTGGTTACAAATCAGGCTGCTAACTTCAGGGTCAACCATTTGAAACTACCAGCTGTTCCGCAGGAGAAAGATGAGGCTTTCTGTTCCCCTACAGATTTACAGCCTCAGAAACCCTGTACAGGGTCGCTATGAGTCAGAACTGACTGCATGGCACATAACAACAAACAACATATTTGCCTCAGGAATTTCTAAAGTAACTAAAATCCTGATTCTCCCTGAAAATGGCTGTCAGATATCCTCAAAAATTTTCACAACAAAAGTTTATATTCCTGAACATACATAGCAGTGCAGATGCGGGGTTGAGGAGAAGAGGAAGTAGATTTCTCTGAAGAAAGAGAACGTAAGTATTCTGTGCTTACCTGGAAGACAGGTACTACTTGGGATATACCATGTGGTTCCACTGGATCCTTCAATAAAATGCAGAGGTAGTAAATCACCTTTTGCTGTAAGAAAATAAATAACAGAAGTCTACGTGTAACTCAGTTTGTTTTCATTTTCTTAATCAATGGAAGCCTCAAAACTTTTTCATAAATGGTTATCTCTAAGTAGTAGAGCACTTGATACCCTGGAAACAGGAGAGAAGTCTATGTTCATTCTTTAAATGAAAAACAACAACAACAGATGGTTTTGAAGCTGGGCTAGGAATTAAAGGTGAAATGTTGATTCCTTATTCATAAAAACCTGTTGCTTCCTTTACAACTTTCAACATAAATTTCACCGTTAATGTTTATCAATACGTCAGCCAAAAAAGAAACACTACAAGCAGAAGAGTCTTCAAGTTTAATTCTGTAGCATCAAATACGTAGATATTAAGATTCAGTTTGGACCTAGGAATAGCCCAGCTGCTATTCTCTCCAGAAATGCCTATAATACTTCTCCCTTTCATGACAAAAGAGACATATATCATCCACCAATATTTTCAGCCTCTCAGGTTTCTTGGTGGTGCTACTAGCTGGTGGGGACCCGTACAACTGTGGGACTCTGAAGAAATGGCCTCAACCCACAACTCCTACCACCAGAGTCCACTTGGGAAATATTTGTCCCACATAATTGTATCAAAATCAATATTACCTCAAAAATACAATTTGCCCTGATTTGCCACCTCCATTACTGAAAACAAGGTGTTCTGGTAGCGTAGTGGTTACAAGTGAGCCTGCTAACCTCAAGGTCAAAAGTTCAAAATTACCAGCAGTTCTGCAGGAGAAAGATGAGGCTTTATACTTCTATGAAGATTTACAGCCTCAGAAACCCTATTCAGGGTCTCTGTGAGTCAAAATCAACTCCACGGCACATAACCAGCACCACCATTACTGAAAACATAGTATCAACAAAAAATTCAAAGTAGAAAAAAATTTGGTCATGAGAAGGTTGTCATATAAACACTTACCATGTAAATAGCCTCATTGATGATAATATCCTTCACTTTGCCCATTTCAATGAAAGTGGTGCTTTCTTTGCCTGAGGCATAGGATGATGTCATCTGGATGCCCAGGGAGTCAATGATTAACAGAGTCTCCTGATCGATCTTCACAAAATGGAGGTAACCAAGCAGGCCTAAGAGGATGATGAAGATGGCAGCAGAGAGAATCATGCTGTTCTGAAGAGAGAGCCAGACAGAGGCAGTAAGATTACCACGTGGTCTTCTGCACATTGCTGCTGTATAACAAGTCCAATGGGAGAGGGGAATCGAGGATCAACGATGAAAAAAGGAAAGGTGAAAGTCTTTGTTCTGTTGTGAGTTGAACAGATGAAAGAAACCTATTTAAGAGGAAGCCAGACATAAAAAGCAACCACTCTTACCTGGATTCTGAAATGCTATGCAAATACACAGGAGTCCTTGTATTGGGTAAATGGTGCTTGACTACTAACAGAAAGGGTGGTGGTTTGAACCCATGGAGACAGGCCTATCTGATCTGCTTCTGAAAAGTCACAACCTTGAAAACTCTATGGAGCAGTTCTACTCTAATCCTGAGTCACAATCAACACGAAACAACTAACAATATTCAAGTGAATAATACAGTGAAATAGATCCAGACAACTTTCAAATAGATAGGTCTATAGAGGAGAACTCACAGCAAAATGTTCACCAACGCACCAATTTCAGAGACTTTTCTTCCAAAAATGCAATTTAAGGACCCAAATCTTTTCCTTTCATGCTTCCTCAGCAGAATTATTTAGTGCCAAATCACAGACTAAACAACTGTAAAGTGCTTAGCACCCGTGCAGCAGATACTACTCATTGCCTATTAATGAGTCACTTCTTCCAATGATTGGTTAAGAGTGAATATATGATAACTCTAGCCAATGATATATGAAGGATGGTCTGCTAAAGGACTTCCAGAATCCTCCAACCTCTAGACTTTTTGTTTTATTAAGTTCCATATCCTTTAATTCTCAATCGTTTTGGGTTACTTGAAGCGAAACTCTTGTCTAATAAATGTGGTAAAGACTACTATTTATCCCCTTGAATCTAAGACACACAGTCACAAACTTAATGTTTCTGAAGCTGAGATTTGTCTTTCAATTGATGTATGTTTCTTTCACGTGGGTTATGGTTAAGCCACTATATATATGGGTACTTCAAAAAGTTCATGGAAAAATTCCATTGTCTTTTCATTCCATTTTTCCACTTTTATTTTTTCCTTCTTTTCCCTTGCGAATTTTTTTAAGCACTCTTGTATAAAATACTAACATAATAGAATTAAATCCTTTAATCAGATTTTTCTCACTCCTGCATTAGAGCGTAAATTCTAGTCACTTGGTTTACAGAAAGTTATGGGAGTTCAAACCCACCACCGGCTCCTCGGAAACACTATAGAGGGTTGCTATGAATCCGGACCCAACTTGACAGCACTTTAACAACATTTTTTATAATTGGAGCCCACTCCATGGTGAGTCTTGACATCCTTGAGTTCTTTCGGACCTTAACTGAAAGCTTTTTCCTCGGATAATGTGTGTTTGAAAGTGGCTTATTAGGACTTCCAAGCCAAACCAATCCAACTCAGGGATTTGCCTGGGTGAATCGTTAATGGAAATTAGGGTACCAAAGCCACAAGGTCTTGAGTCACACTTCAACCAACAAAGTGTCCAGAGGACCCCAGAACCAATCCTCTAAGGTTTTCTAATTTGCAATAGTGTACATGTCCCAATCATGGTCTCTTTCCCTCCAATCATGATTTCGTGATGATCTTCCTTTGTTTTCCATGTTCTATTATTACTAAGGATTCCTGGTGCAGCACTGTAGGATAATAAGCAAATTGGACTGCAAGTTTGGTTTGAACTGCAAGGTCAGCGGTACAAACTCACCAGCTGCTCATTGGTAACCCTATATTGGGTCGCTATGAATTGGAACCAACTCGACAGCACTTAACAACAAAAATCAAACATATTAGAATTGGGGGCCTTTTTTCCCCTTGTAGCACTCCTTTCTAAAACCTAACTGTGATTCATTACTCTGAGGAAAAGCTTGGAATAGGAAGAAAGATAAGAAATTTAGGTACACCGAGCTCTTAAGAAGTGATGCAGTGAAGTTTAAGAGTGAAATCTATCAAGGATCAAGCTTGCCTCCTTGGTACACTGGGTTAATAGGGACGGGCAACTTAGATTTTAGTTATCAAAATTGGGGGGCTATAAAGGCACTAAGTGGCTGGCTTACAAGCTTTCATGAGGGTGCTTAGTGTCAGAACCAGGGGGGTAAAATAGAATTCCCCACTGAATAGTGTTCCTCTTGTCTGGATGGGTCTGATAATGATGGGAGTAAGATTTTATGATTCAATTATGAGTAACTTATCAGGACTAATAGTGATTGTCATAACTCTAAATGTAGAAGAGGCATAACTAAAAGGGGGGAGGGTGCAGTTATATGCCATTTCAGGAACAGAGGCCCCTAGGACCATCAAGAGGGAAGGGCATGAGAGGGCTGAGGGATCCTAACCAGAAAAGCGGCGACAACAGAGAAGGTGGCAGAGGCGATGGATAGCGAGACAGAGCAGCAGAGGACTTTAGGCCCACGGACTGAGAAAGGTAATGTGCCTGTGGACAGGAGGCTGGCTTGCAAAATGTGCCCTGTGGATATTTAAACGAATATATATTTTCAATGTGGAATGTTGTTGTTAAGTACCTTAGAGTCAGTTCCAACTCATAGCAACCCAGTATAGGGTTTCTGAGGCTATAAATCTTTACGGGCGCAGAAAGTCTCATATTTCTCCCGCTGAACAGCCGGTAGTTTCAAACTGCCGACCTTGAGGTTAGCAGCCCGATGTGTAACCACTAAGCTACCACTGTGGAATATGTACATAAAAAAAAACAAAAAACAAAAAAAACGGTAATAGAGGTAAATACTGTTGGCTTAGGGTGCATTGTTGTTGTTGTTAAGTGCCTTCAAGTCGGTTCCGACCCATAGCGACCCTGTACAGGGTTTCCGAGGGTGTAAATCTTTACGGGAGTAGAAAGCCTCATCTTTCTCCCGCGGAGCGGCTGGTAGTTTCGAACCGCTGACCTTAAGGTTTGCAGCCCGATTCGTAACCACTACGCTGCATAGAGGGGATTATAATCATTGCAATGATTTGCTGAGTGTAAAACTGATGATCTGCCCTGTAAACCTTCACTCAATTCACAATAAAAGCTTTTTTGAAAAAAGAAAGTAGCTGCTGAATTCTGGGCAGGTGCTTGGTTGGACTAGGCTGTCTGATTCCAGACACCCTTTCTTTTCCATTGTACTATGTTGTCTTCTCAAGCTCTGGTAGCTCTGGTAGTGGTTATGAATCAGGCTGCTAACCTCAAGGTTGATAGTTTGAAACTACCAACTATTCCTCAGGAGAAAGATGAGGCTTTTTGCTTCTGTAAAGATTTACAGCCTCAGAAACCCTGTGCAGGGTCGCTATGAGTCGGAATCAACTCCACAGTACTTAACAACAACAACAACAACGTTGCCTTCTCAGTGAGGAGGGCTGATCTTAGGCAACTACTGTGAAAGGAGTGGCCCTGGTGGCACCACTAATCAAACAGCCTGAAGTTGGAACTCACCAGCTCTCTTTGTGGGAGGAAGATGTGGCTGTGGGCTCTTGTAAAGATTTACTGCTTTGGGGGGATTCTACTCTGTCCTGTAGGGTCCCTATGAGTCAGAATCAACTCGAGGGCACACAATAACAATACTGTGGAGGTGGTGTAACAAATATTCATTCCACTTTAGAGACGTTAAAACAGGCTGGGGGGCGGGGGGGAACGGGAATTAGTCTGGAAATTGAGCACAGAAACTAATAGTGTCCAAAAATTCCTAATTCTTTGGAAAACACTAAGTTGAGGAAGGTGGACTGCCTTGCAAAACAAAGATTGTTGCTGCTGCTGCTGCTCCATCTGGTTGTTCCGACTCTCCGAGGCTGCATAGTTTCCGAGGCTGTACACCTTTATGGGCGCAGAAAGCCTCACCATTGTCCAGCGAAGCAGCTGGTGGATTCAAACTGCTGACCTTGCAGTCAGCAGCCCCATATATAGGAAGCACTATAAGAGCTGCTTTCAAGCTCTCAGCATGTGTGTTGTGTTCATATATCATGTAAACACATGGTACATATAACAGGGGGCTTCAGAAAGCTCATGGGAAAATCCCACGATCTTTTCATTGTACTTTTGCAGGAGACTTTTCAAAGCTTGTCTGTCCACACACACACTTAGCAAAGCAAAGACAGTTTCTAGAAGACTTCCGAGGCGCTTAAGAGATGGATGACGGCGATCCACTAACAGTGCTCTGAACTTCTGGCATTAAATGACTGTAAGCATTATTACTACACAGCGCAAGGGAAGTTAAAAGTTTTAAGTTGTGCAAGAGCTACGCTGTGTGCTCAATGGAGCCACAAAAACATGCGAGGGAGAAAGAAGGTAAAGGGGGCAAACTTGACTAAACGTAATGAAAAGCTATTCAGTTTCGGAGTGGCATCACCAGAAGCCGCGAGTCCCCATCCTCCGACCTTACGACGGTCGGATTGTCAGGCCAAAGACCCCAGGGAGCCTTTCAAAGCGAAGCCCCGATTCCGAGAGCGAGGAGAGGCCGAGCCGCCATTACCTCACAGAGGGTGAAGAGTCCGTAGGCTGCTAACCACACGGAGCAGGTGACAGCGGTGAGCGAACGCAGCGAGAGCCGAGGGCAGCTGAGGCAGAACTCCCGGCAGGTTGGAGAGTAGTAGCGGCGCTGCAGGGCCAGGCGGCCGCCGCAGATATCCGAAAAGCTCAGCTCGTCCTCCATAGCCGTCCCCCAGCCGCGTTGCACCGCGCCGCGCCGCTCTAGCGCGACTCCTCGCGCCGTCTCGCCGGCTCTAGACCCACTTCCGGAAAGCGGGAGAAGGCCTCCACGTTCCATAGCACGCACCGCGCAGCCGCACTTCCGCGTTGAGACTCGATATTCTTAGGCTGGGGGAGGTTTACGGCGTTCTCGATATCTTCAGATTATTTGATTGTTTCCTCCAAATTGTCGTAGAAGGCCAACAATTTAGCCGACAGATTAAAACCAATATTAATAAGCGTGCGTTCCTCGACAGTGTGATTCCTATTTCTGAGCCAGAGTGCGCCCTAGGGACACAGTCCTCATTTCATTCTCTCTCTTTTTCATTACATATTGAATGAGCGTGGCGCTGTGAGCGAATGCTCTGGACTTCAATGCAAGGTCGGGTTGAGCGATAACGTCGGTGGTTCAAGCTCACCAGCTCCTCGGAAACCCTTATACAGGGTAGCTGTGGGTCGGAACCGACTCCAGGGCACTTAACAACAACAGTTGGTGCTGGATAGTTTTAGGTGCAAAGGATGCAGAGATGAATAACAAATTCTCTATCCTCAAGTAGCTTCCTCTAGTGGGAGAAAAAACAGAAATTTCAGAGGGTGCCCTTGGAATAGTGTGGTAACCACAGGTAAGCGAGGGTTGGCTGAGTACGCTAAGGCATTAAAGGAAAAATCTCTGTGAGGAGATTTTTCCTCTAAGAGAAGTAGCCAGACACTGGTCAGGGGAGTTCTGCAGGTGGACTCTGCCAGAAGGAAGGACCAGCAAAGGCAAAGCCCATGAGGCGGGAACAAGAATGGTTTACTGGAGGAATATAAAAGTTAGAGAGACACGTGCATGGGGGTAGAAGATCCAGAAGGGTCTTGTAGGCTCTATACCCAAAAAAACTCACTGCCATTCAATGGATTCCAACTCATAGCGACCCTGTATACCATCTGTAAATTTTCATGGGAGCAGAGGAGTGGCTGAGGGTTTGAGCTACTGATGACCCTACATTAACAGTCCAGTGCTTATATTACAGTGCCACCAGGACTCCTTGTAGGCTCTGTTGTTGTTGTTGTTGTTGTTAAGTTCTGACCCATAGCGACCCTGTATTAGGTTTCCAAGAAGCAGTTGGTGAGCTTGAACCACTGATCTTGTAGTTCAAACGACTTTGCAGTCTGACGCATTAGCCCACAGCGCCACACCAGGACTCCTGTAGGTTGTATGTTGTTGTCATGTGCTGTGGAGTCAGTTCCGGCTCATAGCGACCCTGTACAGGGTTTCCGAGGCTGTAAATCTTTAGGCGAACAGAAAGCCTCATCTTTCTTCCACGAAACCGCTGGTAGTTTCTGAACTGCTGACCTGAGGTTAGCACTCTGATTAACCACTACACTAACCACTACACTACCAGAGCTCCTTGTAGACTGTAAGGAGTTGAATTTTACTCTCTAGCTTCTCTCTCCCAAACCTCTGTTGGAAGGTAAGACAGGAGTGTGAAACACAACGTGTATGGAAAAATAAGATAACTAAATTTATGCTGCCTGTGGGTTCCCTCTTCTTACGTCAGATGTGGCCCATGAGCAGCCTGTGTAGCCTATTAGAACAAGTATGATACTTCAATCCTGAGGCAGTACCATGGAGGAAACTGATCCCATGTGTATGAGGATAAGTGGTGTGAAGATGGCCCCAGTTTTTTTTTTTTTAAGTTTTTATTGTGAATTGAGTAATACTCCACATGGGAGAACATCGGTTTTACACTCATCATTGTTTCAATGTAATTATTACAATATTCTCCATGCATCATCGTTCAAAGGTATTTGCTTCTATTCCTTCTTTTTTTGTGTGTGTACGTGTTTTCTTTTATTTGGTGGTGGGGGGGTATATACACAAAAACACACAGGAGTATATAATCATTTAAACAAACAAAGGGCACATTCTGTAAGCCTGCCTCCTGGCTGCCAGCACACAGCCATTCACTTTCCATGAGTCTAGAATCCTCAGATAAGACGGCACCAGTTTTAAGGATTTCTGGTACAAGTAAGGTTCAATTTTCCATCCTGATCCTTTTCTTCAAACACTGCTTTGTTTTTCCAACAATTTTTGTGTCCCAAATCTTACCAACCAATATATATATACATATTGATATATTTCCAATATATATTTTTGTGAATATCCTTTAATTTCTTTTATCATGATAAAAATAATGTTGGTAAATTGAAATTTTTTTAAAACACACACACAAAAATTTTTTAAATCATTCGTATCTCCAGCACTCAAAGATAAGCACTGCTACTCTTTTAGATAAATCTCTAGTCTTGTAGTACTTATCCAGGCTCCACAGATAGACTTCAGAGTCTGTGGACTTGGATAGGGGAAAAAATTGCATCTTCAGTTTCATTAACTTCTCATTGAAATTTAACATTTATTTTGATTATTAATTTAGACAACAAACTAACTAGTATTAGTGGTTTTGTCACCAACAGAAATCACAGATATTTTCATTTCACAATAATTTTATAGATATCTCAAACTGTCACTTCCATTCCATTCATCACTACTTCAAACTTGTGGTAATTAGTAGATCCACCACTAGATAATGTTATAATGAATCAGTAAAAAGAGGTACACACTGCTCTGCCTCATCCATTAGCCCATGGATTGAGTCATTGGTGGGCTCAAACCACCTTCCATTTGGTTAGCAGCCCAACACTTAACCCACGGCACCACCAGAACTTGTCAGGAAAAAAGTGAGACAGTCAGCTTCTGTAAAGATTTACAGCCTTGGAAATTCTGTGAAGCTGTTCTACTCTGTCCTGTTGTTGTTGTTGTTAAGTGCCATTGAATCCATTCTGATTCATTGTGACCCTGTATAGGGTTTCCAAGGAGCAGCTGATGAGTTTGAACTGCTGACCTTGTGGCTCAAACTGACTTTGTAGGCCAGTACTTTATTCCACAGCATCACAGCACAACTCAACTCTGCCCTATGTTGCTGTTGTTAATAAGTGCCATCGAGTCAGTTCCGATTCATAGTGACCCTGTATTCCTAGGAGCAGTTGGTGAATTTGAACTAGCGACCTTGTGGTTCAAATAAACCTTGCAGTCCAACGCATTAACCCACAGTGCCACACCAGGGCCACACTGTATCCCATAGGGTCATTATGAATCAGAACTGACTCAAATGCAAAGTGTTTGGTTATATTTCAGTTCTATTGATTTTGAAATTCTATGTGTTTTATGATTGTGATAGGAGATCCGTTCATTAGCTTCACAAAAATGTGCAGGGGAAAAAAAAGTTACTGTCCGACCTGAGAGGTGGTGATGGTTATTTGCTGTGGAATAGGTTTGACCTGAGAGGCAGCATTGTTTAATTAGTGGAGGAAACAGTTTCTAGCTTATTATTTCCATAATATGCTTCAAATAATGCTTTTTAAATAAGTGCAAGCACTATTTTTTTTTTTAAAGAACCTATGTGGGATTAGATAATACACAATTGTTGAATCACAGAAAGAAAAAGACACTTCAACATACATAATTAATACGAACAAATATGATAAAGTAATTCTAGAATCTTCATAGCTATATTGTGTTGTCAGATCACAGAATCAGCTTACCCTATGATGCTGTTTCACATACCTATTGGAATATGAAGTGACAAGTTTTCTTAACCATGATCTTGTAGGAATATGAAAGAGAAGGAATATAATTCACCCAGAGAATCTTTCAATAATGAAAGTAGAGGCTTGAATTTTTTCTTCAATTCCGCGAGCTTGAGAAATGCTGAACGTGTTCTTCCTTTTTGGTTTTCTGATTCCAGATCTTTCCACATTTTGTTGCAATATTTGGCTTTATCTTCTCGAGCTGATCCTGGAAATTTTCTGTTCAGCTCTTGGACCTCCTCATTTCTTCCATTTGCTTTAGCATCTCTATACTGGAGAGCAAGTTTCAGTGTCTCTTCTGA